AAAAAAAAAAAAAAAAAAAAAAAAAAAAAAAAAAAAAAAAGCCTAAAGAGCTAGTCATTAGCTTTTCAAAACAGAGTGGGCAAACACAGTGACTAATAAATACCTGGGTAAGTATGCTGCTAGCTCTCTATTTTCCCAGCTACCTATTGTGTTATTTTATTTATATAGTAAATAGAATAAGATGCTTCAGCATAGAAAGGTCGGTCATTGAAAGGGGAGAAATGAAAGGAACACAAGTTTCCTTAAGACCAAAAAGACAAATTGTATGATATAGGTACGTTTGGAATAGACAAAAGACATTTTAGGTTCATCAATAATTGAAACGAAGGGCCCCTGACTCTGCAATGCCAGACTGGAGGCTGTTCCATAGCAGAAAGCCATTAACAGCAGAGAGGMAGCTTAACAGCATGTGCTAATACATCAGTGTTGTTCAGCTTAATTCAATAACCTCAGATAACAAAAAGCAGCTTTTGAAGAGTAGGCATGTGTAAAGAAAATATGAGCAAAGAAAGACATTTTTATCTTTAAGGCATGGAGGCACAAGCCATTTGTACTCCAAGAGAGCCAAATGGGTTAAATCAAGCTTCAGCATTTAAATGCTTRTAATTCCCTTGCACTGCAGAACAGCTTTTGGAATATGGGAATAGAATGTCTAGCATTAAAAATCCCCTAGAGTATTTAGTAAGTTACAGTGTCAAGGAAAAGTGAAAACAATCTGTAAAAGCCCTCAATTTTTCAGTTAATGATCATACAATTTTTATACTATTCACCTACCACTGTGCATGAACTGAGTATGTATCATTTATCAAATAAGAGCAAGAGCCTGTAAAGCTTCCTGTCTGCCTTTGGATTTAGTCAAAATGAATGCAAACAATCACGTGGGATCCAGCCAAGCAGTGACGTTAAATTCTGCTCTGTCAGAAGACAGCATCTGTCAAAGTCCACATTTAAACTGCTGCCTGCCTGTGCAGCAGCTGAACAACTCCGGAATGGATTTTATCCACCACAATTCTGGCTTAAAACAGCTCCAAACCATTTCTATTACTGCCTAGCAACAATGAAGGAAGGAACGGAGGGAGATCCTATTACTGAAGACAACTGAGGCACTGGGCGCTAGCCCTCCCCGCTAACATTTCCAGSCGAAATATGGATCCTGAGGAGAGCAGAACACAGCCCCGCATTGTCCGAGCCGGCAAGCAGCAGATGTGAGAGCCCCGATGGCGCGGCTGTGAGCGGCTCCGCGCCACGGCAGCCACAAGTCGTGTCCTTTTGTCTGCAGCATGAACAAAAAGCCCCGAGCCAAGGACGGCACCTCGGAGCGGGGAAGGTAACACGGCACCGGGCGGCCAGATGGACAGAGCGGATCCCGAGCACAGCGGGCGCAGGAAGCACGGCTGCTGGGGGATGTGCGCATGGTCCACAGCATCTTTTTTTGCTGAAGTGATGGCGTGCCCCAACTATTTTCTGTGGGTATAATCGYGCACCACAAATGGCCTGAGCAAGGAAGGTATGTCAAAGCCTTGTGTGTGATGTTCGTTCGCTTGTCTGTCACCTTTTCAGCCATTGCAGATAGTGATCGTTCCCCGTTTGCGGCGCCCCGAGATAACACTGTCTGGGAGCGGGGAGAAACAATTGTGGCAGGTTTTGCTCTCCCCCGGCACAATGTCACTCCCCTGCACTGCCTAAATGCACTGCTCAGCCTGCCAAGGCTGCTGGGGCTGGAGAGGCAGGATTAAAGGGATAATGGAGCTCCTGTAATGATTGCTTTTAACTGAGAAATTAAAAACTCAAACCCCTCCAATGTAGAAAAACCAGTTAGAAATCCTCTCAAACTAGGTCAGAATTAATCCTTATCTGAAGTAATCTTAAAGCATGATAAAATGGCCATAATGTGACATACCGAGAGCATTGAACCATCCAAACAGACCACGCAGTCAAAAGACATTATCTTGAAAGTCCCTTCAGCCCTTTTTACACTTGCTTTTCTGCCCCCCAAACACAAGCAAAATGTCATCAGGGCACTACCGGCCAAGCAGAAACTGGGAGCATGTAAAAGACTGGGCATGATTTAAACCATCAGCAGTGCGATCAGGCACCACGATTTACAAGTAACATCAGGCTCCCCTGACATCCCAAAAGGAAACCTTCAAACACTACACACTCAGAATGGTAGGCACGTAACTTATCTCCTGCCATCACTGCAATTTCTGTTTAATATGAAAACACTGGCTGTTTAACTTGGATTGTAAAATGACATTCCATCTAATTGCCATTCATTCCTATTTCTTCTTGAAATTTAAATACTTCATCACTAGTGGCAAAAAAAAAGAGATGAATACTTGCAATACAAATTTAAGACCTAAATCTATAGCAACTCAATATACCACAGAAAGAAAGTGCTTAGATGCAGAATCTACCAATAAGCTATAATAAATCATTAAATGTCAATATAAATGTGCTTTCTTTGCCCAAGGCAATGCTAACATGAAATAAAACAACTGCAGCTGGCAAGAGTTCACAAACCTAAAGATGTAGCACACAACAGACACCGGTTTCAAATCAGTTTTAAAACATTTTAAATATAAAGTCACTTTACAGAACTTTTAAAACAGCAACAAAAAGAAAATGTACCTTCAGGAAACACTCCAGGAGAAGCACACTTGGCTAATGCATCTTATTCGTATCGGACATTTAAAAACCTGCACAGCAAACCTTATCCCAAATACTGTTTTGTGCAAAAGATTAATGGAGTTTGTAAGGGAACTCAGGCACTTTAAATGAGGCCCAATACACAACTGCTGTTCATCAGAATACAGACTCGGGCTGCCTTTTGAACTCTTCCCTCTAATTGAAGAGTTTGCCCACACAGCTAATCAAAATATGAAAATCCAAGACGTGTGAATAGGAAGTCAAATGCTCCAATTTCAAAAGCTGTAATTATAGAGCAGAACTGCAAGTACCAGGAACCAAAACACCAGCAGAGCACAGACCACAAATAAAAATTCAAGAGGCATTCACAGTTTATGTATTTGGCATTTGATAATGCATCAGTGACTGCACTGTCAAGTGCCAAAAATGAAGCAGCATTATCATAAATAATATCTCCAAAATGCAGTTACAGACAACAACACACTCTCAGAGGACAAGGTGGGCATTCTAGAGACCTTTTGCTGTTCTTAGGTTTTCCTACCTACTGTCAATAGTTGGTGCCTGTTCATAACCTTTCTGTGAAATGTAATTTAAAATATTTGGGCAAAAAAAGTAATGTTCTATCCTAATTAAATGAGAGAAAACTATACTTTTATTATGCTATTTGATGGTGGGGTTCGTATCTATTGACAGTTTTTTTACATTATTTTTAAACAATGCACCCTAGCATGTAGTATTTTTTTTCCAAGGTGCAATTGTTGTTGCTCTTTTTTCAATGCTTAATACCCCACTGTATATTTTGAAATGCTTTACACACAAACTGCAAGGAAAATGAGCCTAAGTTATTTGGGCTTTTTCAGTCAATAGCTTTCTGAAGCTGAAAAATACATGTGGGTGCTTCCCCTATTCATATAGTGCCTTTTTAAAGGGCAAACAGAGACAGATTTTCTAAAAAACTCCTACCTTGAAAAATCAAGGAAATGTGGGAAAATCAAAGAAATATTACTCTCTTAACACTTCTCCTGATTCTAGTTCTGTCCCTCACCGTAAAACTTATTTTCATGTGCACTATGTGAGCATGCAGCTCATTAAAAAGAGCTTCAGCCATTACAACTGGCTTTGCTGGGACACTTCCTCAGAGCATCAGAGAAAGGCAGCACCTGCAAACAGTTTTCAGTTTACTAAAGTATTTATGTAACTTAAGATTCTCTCTTTTGCCTATTGCCATATCAGAGTAGGTGCACAACTAAACACTACTTTATTAAAGATTCAACAGAGATTACCAATGCACATTTGCTAAAGTATTTCCATAATGACTGTAGTTTTATAAGTGGAGCAATTCAGTGTGACAAAATTAATCTGAGTTCTAGCTGCTAGTCCACATTTGTGAAATTCTGGCTTTAATTTTCTCCCTGAACTGTGGACACATGCAATAGAACAATAATTAATCAAACATTCCCACTGCTGCCTCCAATCTGCTAYCAAACATTTACTGCCCTGAGATCTAGGCTATCCTTTGAAGTGACATTTATGTTTGCTTATGCAGAGATATTCCCAAAGAGCTGAGTGTTCATTTACAACTCACTGCACACTGCAGACAAACTGAAAATTGGGAGTTTTGAGGGGAGGCTTCTGTCTTTTCAGCTGGCAAAAGCAGGTGCAAGTGGTCAGATAACCACGAGTATTGCACATTTGGAGCTTATCTTCTTTTACATAAAGACAACACTCGAGTTAAAGCAGCACATGCATGGAGTGTCAGGTTAATTCCTTAACAACACAGCTYAGACACAAGCATTTATGATTTTTAGGCAGCTGAGTCTCCGGGAAGTGGCATCAGCCCTGAACAGTTACATCGGAAAATCAGAGATACTTTTAGCAAGCTTTAAAACCAAACGCATGAAAGCAACTGAAGTGCATTGGACGGGAGGCGCCGCTCGGGGCTCGGGTGCTCCCGGACCGGGTTCGGGTGTTCCCGGGCAGGGCTCGGGTGCTCCCGGGCAGGGCTCGGGAGTTCCCGGATCGGGCTCGGGTGTTCCCGGATCGGGCTCCGGTGTTCCCGGATCGCGCTCGGGTGCTCCCGGGCCGGGCTCGGGTGTTCCCGGAGGATCGCGGCGCGCGCGCCCTTCTCGCGTCACAGTCGGCGCGCAGCGGCGCCCCCTGGCGGGAGTCGCTGAGGCGGCGGCCCGGCCGTGAGGCAGCTCCCGCTCACGCCGGAAGATGTTTGTACAAACACCGGCAATAGGTAAAATAAACATCAGTTATGCCCCTCTACCTACCCTTCCGAAACACATATGAATATTCCCTTACATGAACAGGGCAATTGCATGTTGCATCACACAYACACAACTCAATATCCTATTATTCGATTGACATCTCTTAAATTCCTTCCTTACAACGTTAAACCCTGTAATTTCCCATGTAACGTATCACTTAGTTTTTCAATGCACAAATTAACTCAAATATTGGTTTAAGAAGATAGCGAAGCAATTAATAAATTACATATTTCTATTAGAAACAGCATTTTCTGTGGACTCTTGTTCAACTGTCATCCTTTCTCCTATACAAAACCCTAGGGCCCAGGAATAAATTAGACCAAATTGAAAATTGCAAACGAATTGCTACTGTGCACTGAAAGGTTCATTTATGAGATGATGTGATCAGCTTTTAATATGCAGCATCATGAAGCTGCCATATTGACTCTGCTTGTGAATATGAACAAAAATTTAAGAGAAAATGAAGCACAGACTACTGGCACTTTTTCCTACAGCTACAGCTGCTGGTCAGAATACTTGAAATTTTCAACTGCTCTGAGAAGTCCAGTAGTTACATATAATTCTATAGAAGGGGGAAAAAACAAACCAGAACCATGATCATCAGATAATTGGCTAGAAACTTAGTTCTGAGCAATTTTACTTCCAGTTACCATGAACACTACGTGAGATCTCTGCCTACTAAAAATCAAGAGCTTCATTTTAATTCAGCTGCCTCYGAGCCTGGCACCACAACCCACTGTTCCATTCAATGTTTTCTCCAAYGTGGAGTAGAAGGTGAAAGGTGCCTGAAAGGTGACTGAAAATGTTATCCTGCACTAGCATCYGAGGGCTGTGCACTGAGCTTACTGGASCCTGAAAATTAACTCTGACAGGTGCATCTTCTCAYTGACTTTCCCTGCGCAGTGGGGGCYGGCGGAGACGCGCCAGGCAGTGTCCTGTGACTAACACAGCTCTGCCATCCCCAACCCTGCGCCGTCTGTCCCACCACCAGGCATGGCCATTTRCAARAAGGGCTTTAAACTGTGAGCCATCCTAGCCTCTGCATGTCAAATCAATTTYAATTAATGCCAATAAACCTTCCATCTGCCAGCAAGGCTTTTTCATTCAGTCCTTCTCAAAYGCTCTACAAGGATTTCACAGCCAGTGTATATGAAGCTATTTATGTCTATTTCACACTTTTTCCTGCTAACATGATCCATTTTCTTTTCCTCTTTATCTTTGKTATCCAGGATGTTTGTCAAAACTTTTACCATGAAGAAAAGCATTTTAAAAGCTAACAAAACAAGTTAAATCATAAAACAAGGCTGGCCTTTAGCATAAATCAAACCTCACTTCTATTGACATGGCTTGTTCTTCAAAAAAGTAAATTTAACCCAATTTTATGTTTATATCTAGTTTCTATTGGTAACCTTTTATATTATGAATGTGTAAAAYGAACCATTTCTGATTTTGTTTTTTACTCTTTGCAGAGAGAGCCATTTGCAGACAATTACTCAACAYGAACAAAAGAAAATGAATACCAAAGAATAGCAGTGGATTCTAAACCAATTGGATAAACCTTTTGCTTGAGCATTGTCTCACATCCCATCACTGGATCCTTACAACATGCTTCAGTGGAGAAGACGCCACTGCTGCTTGGCAAAGATGACCTGGAATACCAAAAGGTCTCTGTTTCGCACCCATCTCATTGGCCTGGTCTCTCTGGTGTTTCTTTTTGCCATGTTCCTGTTCTTTAACCATCACGACTGGCTGCCAGGCAAGGCTGGATTCAGAGAAAATCCCATGGCTTACACCATCCGAGGATTTAGATCTACAAAAAGCGAGACCAACCACAGCTCTCTGAGGAACCTGTGGAGAGAGGCTGTGCCTCAGACACTCAGGCCTCAGACAGTCACCAACCCTAACAACACGGATCTGTCCCCGCAGGGAGTAACCGGTTTGGAAAACACCCTCAGTGCCAATGGAAGTATTTACAACGAGAAAGGCACTGGGCGTCCAACTTCCTATCATTTCAAATATGTCATCAAYGAGCCTGACAAATGCCAGGAGAAGACCCCTTTTCTAATACTGCTCATAGCTGCAGAGCCTGGCCAGGTGGAGGCCAGACAAGCAATCCGACAGACCTGGGGCAACGAGAGTCTGACACCTGGCATCCAAATCGTGCGGATTTTTTTGTTGGGCTTAAGCATTAAGATCAATGGATACCTCCAGCGTACCATCCTTGAGGAAAGCAGACAGTACCACGACATCATTCAACAAGAATACTTAGACACCTACTATAATTTAACTATTAAAACTCTGATGGGAATGAACTGGGTTGCAACTTACTGTCCACATGTTCCCTATGTTATGAAAACCGATAGTGATATGTTTGTCAATACTGAATATTTAATACACAAGCTTCTGAAACCAGAACTTCCTCCGAGGCACAAGTATTTTACAGGTTATTTAATGAGAGGTTATGCACCTAATAGGAACAAGGATAGCAAGTGGTATATGCCACCTGATTTGTATCCRAGTGAACGTTATCCTGTATTCTGCTCCGGAACCGGTTATGTTTTTTCTGGAGACTTAGCAGAAAAAATCTTTAAGGTCTCCTTAAGCATCAGACGTTTACATTTAGAGGATGTGTACGTGGGGATCTGTCTCGCCAAGCTGCGGATTGACCCCATGCCCCCACCCAACGAGTTTGTCTTCAATCACTGGCGAGTTTCTTACTCCAGCTGTAAATACAGCCACCTAATTACCTCCCATCAGTTCCAACCTAGTGAACTGATCAAATACTGGAACCACTTACAGCAGAACAAGCACAACGCCTGTGCCAACGCGGCCAAGGACAAGGCTGGCAGGTACCGTCACCGCAGGCTGCACTGAGGGCCGGCACCGCCCGGCCGGCCCCGCAGGCCACGTGTAAATAGCGCCCAACRCATGGACACTGACCATGGAGCAGCCCCACGGCACAGCCTGGACTCAGCCCAGCACACAGGCCACTCGGGAAATTATTTTTTTAAGTTAAAAAAAGAGTATAGCTCTTAAAAATTATGGAATTATAACCAAAAGGTTTTCCCAGCAAATCTGAGATTTAAAAAATGAACATAAAAAAGATGGTATATAAGGATTTCTGTGTTAATGTGCAATAATAAGCATGCACACTTTGGTGGTACAATTGCAGATTTATGTGCCAATAAAATATAATYGAGCATATTTTCCACACTAAAATTTTATTTTAAAAGATGCATTCATATCTCTAGTTCTCTTCCATGTAATGATTTCATGTTATCTAGGACTTCTATGAAATGAAAAATTAAAAACTAAGGAAATGCACAAAGGACAGATCAGTTTTACCCTCAAATGCCACATAACAGTTATTAGACACTTCTTTAATGTACAACACATTTAACTATGTCACAAATTAGTAAGACACTACCAATTAATTCAAACCACTAAGAAAGTACTCCCTTGGAGTAGGTCCAGTGTGGGGAAGTTTGCTTATTTGGTTTGGAAGGAAAGATAAATGCAATCAAAGTTGCAAAGATTTGTTTTGTGTATCACCTTCAGAAATGCAAGTGCTGTTCTGGATGCAACTAGATCGTCCAGAAAGAGCTGACTGAAAGTTACTTATTCTCCAGGAGTCACAGGGGAAGCTCCTAAAATCTGGTGCCAAGTAACTTTCGTTCACTTGGCACCTTCATGCAAATTCACTGAATCTGCTGTTCATTTCCCTATATAACTTCAAGGTAGCTCAAACATGATGAGAAACATAAAACACAAGTTCAACTCTTGCACTGTTCTTGACAAAGTTTCATTTTATGCAAAGGGGGACGAAACTAATCAAATGTATTGATTTTTTTCTTTCCTGTCTGACAAAAACCAAGGATCAACCAAGTGAAAACACAACTGCTGGAGAAAATKAAGCCCCACACCTCAGTTTATAGGTGAGGAAAACTGGGTCATARTAAGATTGAGAGTTCCAGCCAGCAATATGAGCAGGAACAAAATCTAAGCAATTCAAAGTCACAACACGTACCACTGAAAAYAAATTGTGAGAAGTGGGTTAAATCTAATTACAGGTTTCCAGTTTTCTAACAAACAGAACTTTTAAAGCTTATTTTCCAACTGTTACAGCAGAGYTGTATCTGATTCAGGTTATCACTGTTTGTCACAGTGCCAGGGTAAGCAATACCCACCTCTGATTTAGCAGCAAATTATCAAACTGCAATTAGTTTTCTGTTTGACTGGGACTTTTTAATTGGATAAAATACAAATATTTGATGTACTTTTATTATTTAATAAAATTGATTATATTTATGGTCTTAAGATTTCACTTCTTATGGGAAAGCTTCTCAGGAAGAATGAAATTTSTAGCTTTAGCTTTGTTTTTCTAGTGTTCCCTAGTCCTTAAAACCTGGTTTTCATGCAGAGTACAGAGATCACAGCAGGGTTTTCTCCTTTGTAATGAAAAGACAAATCATATTACTGAGCATTTGCAGCAGCTCTCGGGCTGTCTGTCTGCAGGAACTCTCACACGTGAACAGACTGCAAGGSRCTGGATGCACCTCTGAAACAATTCCAGCAGCTCCTGGAGAAGATGGGTGTGGGAATTTGCTGAACACCTCTGTTTTTATGACCCTCCAGTAAATTTTTTCCTCTGCTGTATTTGGGGTGTATTATTTGTATATTTGTACATTTCCAACACACCTCGAATCGTATAAATGCCTGGTTTCGGGGAAAGCAAATACCTGTAAAAGTAGTAACTCTCTTCTGCTGAGATTTCTCCACTAAACTGCAAGTTCATGCACTTAGCTGATGTGATGATTATTGGCATTCACGTGAGAGCTGCACTAGACAGACCTTTGGGAATGTGCTTTCAGCACCCATTGTAGCTTTCCTCAGTCAATCTGCTGCTGGCTCCCAGCTAAGGCAGGCCACAGCTGACATCCAGCTGAAGGYACCTGGCTGAAGGTCACTGCAGGCAGGCTTTAGGCCACAGTGCCAGCTCCAGCCCCCCAGAGTGAGTGTGGAAGCCAGCCACTGCTGCAGGGTAGTGAATTTTGGAAGCTGTCCAATCCCATAAGTGGCCTCTCCCCGAGCAGTGCTGGCCAAGGATGCAGCCCAGCTTCCTGGAGAGGACTTGAGCGCTGCTCCCCTCCGCTGTGATCTATTTGATTTTACCAACTCTGGCTACTCCTAAATGCTATTCCTGGCTCCTGGGGGTAGTCCAAGAGGTTAATAACTAAACCTTAAACAGTTTGGCACTTGAACCATCGAGTTTGGCAGGCAAACCACCTCTTGGGTGCCGGGCTTTGGAGCTCCTGCACGATGCTGATCTGCCCGAGCTTGGCAGAACCACAGCACGAAGGYGACGAGTTCAGCATAGCAAACCTTCTGCTAGTTACAGGACTAGTGAGGAGGAGGAGATGCTAAACAAAACACCATTTTTAATGCCCTTTGAAGGGCCCAACATGATTTTTAAAAATTTTACTAATGTTTGAATATAAATTGAAACCACCCAATAAACATACTTAAATCCTTATCAACATGGTCAAATGCTAATAAAATTATTTGTGTCCAAGTACTGTTTTCGGGCAAAACTTTCAGAAACAAAAGGGATCATTTTGTATTATGAAATATGCTATTATAGAATGAAAGCTCTACATTCCTTTCTCTGAATGTTTTACTGTTTTCTAGCTTGTGTTTAAGCTATTTGCTCACTATATTAGAATATAAAAACAGTTAATGCTAAAAATAGTGCAATAATTATTTTTACAATTAAAAGCTTGGACAAATTCTCTCACTTCCTTTCCCCATACACGAGAAAAAAAACGCATTTTTCATTAGCAATGGAATGCAAACTTACAGCTAAAACTCTAACATGTCTGCAATGCAGTTAAAACAAAGGAAAAATGGATCTAACTGATCACTGAATATAGAAGCGCAAGAGTTTGTATAATATTTGCCTTAAATGTTCTTATTTCTCTATACATCTGCTTCAAGTTGAAAACAAATATAAAAAGTCATAATGGCTCAAAACTTTTGAAGGGAGAAAAAAATGTAAAATCATTAGTACCATCATTATGGCAAAGAAAAATCTTAGAAAAGCTCGCCTGGTAACAGAAATCAGAAATTGGAAATCCATAATTTCCCCATATTTATTTAGCTTTTAACTAAATAAAGATTTACACATTGATAGGACCAAAATGAAGTCCCACAAAAAAAAACCTGTGATTCAATAACAGAACTGTTCATTTCACATCTCCAATTAAATCAGTGGTGTGGGTTATTTGCAGATCACACACCAATATAATTAAGAATGGAAAATGCACAACTAGACCTTTAGGTGTAGCAGAAGTGATCCCATCCCCTGCCACTAAGAGATCTTTCAAGGGTGAAGGTCACAATCTGTTTCAACTTTAAAAAATTACACATCAAGGTAACTTCCAAGCCTTAGTGGTTGTTCTGAGAGAAAATTCAGTGCCCACTAAGATCTTCACTTAAATTTATAAACTTAAATTATAGGMTGGCAGTGATCTAGAAGAGATGAGACAGACTGGCTTTCAGGTTAACCTTACTAGAACAGCAATTTAGAATCTGCTTTTCTTTGCAGTGCAGTAATATAAAATGTGTCAGTCCTCATTTACGGAATATTTTAGAATATATCAACATGTTAAGACATGCATTAACTGTCTCCAAGCCCAGGCTAAATCAGGCACTGGAGGCGAGGGAAGYACCTAGAGGCCATTACTTTAGACTGCCTCCCCCTTCCACTAATTTTCCTTATACGCTAACACAATCCCCAATCAGACTTCAATCTAAAATACCTACATAATCCCACAGGGCAAGAAAATCTTTTCTCCTGAATGAATGTTCATTGCAATGCGTGGAAATATCCTCAGAGGAGATGAAAGGCAGAGGGAAGATGCTAATATAGACRCTACTACTTCTTCCATTTGTGCTAYTGGGAAGAACAGGCTTGTAACTGATTTGCAAAAACATCACTCCTTGTTGCCGTATTTTCCCAATTTTAAATGCCATTTCTTGATCYTTCTTTGATACTGTCAAACAGCACAAATAGATATATATTGGACAATCACTCAGTTGTTCTCTGAGAACTGCCTCTGTCAATGAAGAGCATTACTGTCCTTTTCAGATTGTCCTTCCAAAGCAGGATGTGACTYGGGGCACAGTCTCACCCCTCTCTTGCTGGCCACACCTACTGGAACATGGCCCTGGCTGTTTTCACTCCAGATTCCATCTCTAGCCCATCCTGCCCTGCTTCCCAAGCCCAGGAACTCAGTGAGGCCGGGAGGGAGGGAGGGAAGCTCTCTGAAACGCTGCACTGTGCAAATGTAGGTCAGCTAGGACAGAACGTGGTCTCTGCTTTGTACCAAGAGTGAAGTCAAAGGCTCTCCGGGGCAGGAGGCCGGGGGAGGGCTGTGGAAAACAACTTCTTGCAGCAAGGCAGTGAAAAAGGGGCTTGGATGTCAGAAAACAGAAGAGTGAAACTAAAAATGCAGCAGCTGATCAACACCACACAGGTTGGAAATACAGGGCAGGGAAAAGTGTTATAGAAGTGAGGCCAAATTAGAAAGCAGGATCTGGAATTCTAGTTCAAAGTGTTCACACCTCTGGCACTTACAGAGAAAATAGGAATCTATGAGATAAATCCATGCTTCTGACAAAATTTTTAGTTTGTGATTGCAGTGCATGTATTTTATCAAGGCCTGGACCAAATTCCAAGTGGTGACAAGATGGCATGAACTGCAGGTCAGTAACTCCACACACGGGACTGTCAGTGCCCAGGCAAACCAAGAGCAAAGCAAATCAGATCACTTGCACCCAGGATTTGCATTTCACTTTCCCACAAAGCRTTAATTTCAGCCTGCATTTGTTCCAGGTTAGCTCAAAAGAAGCCCAGCCTGGTACAATATGGTACCTTCTTCTCCCAGTTAAAAGCCTGCAAAGGAATTTAGCTGAACATGGGATACGGATGAAAACTACCACGTTGCTGTGCTGATATTGCCATGGCAACAGTTACAAGAGCTCTCTTAAGCATTTAAATCTGACAGTTTTCCTGATAACACTAACTGAATGATAGTAATGATGCATTTTGGTTCATGAGCTAACTGCTCTATAACCATAGGGTATGAACCATTCCCTTCGCTTTTCTCAAGACTCTGCTTTTGGTCAAAACGTTCTGACCGAGACAGTAACCTTGAATTACCACACAAAAAAAAGAAAAAAAAAGTCCCTCCAGCTCAGGGAGTACTCATGGCTTAAAGCCTTCTGTACTCTCAAAGGTTTCCATTTGAATGCTTAAGTTGGGCACAGTCGGTGTGCAGGGTGGAGAAGTCAAAGCTGCTAAAATCTTTGACGGGATTTTTCTCAAAGGGCTTTTCATTCGCTTGGGAAGCCTGGAGAAAAGAAATCTCCTCCTGAAGGGTGCACTGAATTGTTGCTGACCTTCAAGATGTCATTTGCTCAATAAAACAGGAGCAGGAAGAACCSGGTGTTTTTATACAGTCTTTATCAGTAGGTAACCAATATACACTTTTTAAAATAACAAATCACTGCCAGCTGCTTTACCTCAGCAGAGGCCAAGTGCACTGATGAATACACCGAGTGCTCTGAGGACATCACAGCAGCATCTCCATCTCCTTTCAGCCCATTTAGCTTCAGCTAATATTAAGTGGCATTTCAGCTGTTTAATATGAATATTCTGTGAACCACTCWCTCTGATCTCCCAGATGCTCAGTGTGGGCATAATGGAGAAGCCTCTTTTTCTTTACCTCATTAAAAAGTGAAGTGTGTGAAACACGGTTCTCATCCTAACATTTTAAGGACACCAGCTTTGATAATGTCTTGCAATATATTCAACTGAAAAAGATTAAGATACTGAAAACAGTGTGAAATCTTTAAAATTTCCCAAGATGACAAAAATTCAGATTTCAGAAGAAACAGTCATGCTTGCAAGGATCTAAGAGATGAATCTTTTCAACACAAAAAAGTCTTCAGAAGGYAAAGTATTCCCAGTTCCTTCGCTGTTAATACTTTTTAAAGTTTTATACGGAATTAAAAATTAAAAACATCCATGCCATCCTAAAACCACCAAATCCCTCCACGCTCTTGAAAAACCACAACCCCACCACATCTTTTCTTGTGGAAAGGCCAAGTGTTCCCACATCTCAATAAGGCTCAAAGTTTAAAACAAGAAAAACCAACTGCCACAAGAAATCCTTTGTTAATAAAAGACCAGACAAGACAGCAAAGAAAACTCAAACCTTACTCACTGCCTTTCCTAAATAYCTAACATACCTTGCATTTAAAGAAGCTGAGATCTAAGAATTATTTTGAGAATAAAAATAACCTACAATCTTGCAGGTTTCATTCAGAATTTGTGTGTCACTGTCATCACCTTCAAAAGAAGCATCAATTTACGTCACATTTTAAACCTGTTTTGCCCTATTGTAAAGGTTGATACAAGATGATAAAACAAAAAATGAAACACTGGAAAGCACCATCTGTGACTCAGTCAAAAATTWAGTGCTGCTACTTAATGCAAATGTCAGTCTTTTTATAGGCATTCTTCCAAAGTCCACCTAGACATTGATTTTTGCAGCCATAAAAATTCAACTCAATTACCCAGCCTTCTGAATGAAGAGAACCAATTTCCCATTGTATCATCTTTAAATAATTTAAAATAATTGTGTTTTATTGACTGGTTTTTAGTGCAGAAAAGGGTAACACTTTTATGTCCCAAAAATGTAAAGAAATGAGACAACAATTCAGAGTACTCTTAATGTTACCTGAGACTCTAAAATAAAGGTGAACATCTCATATATACTTGAGGGAACAACTCACACCTCTGCTGCTCAAAAAGCAAATTACAAAGATTATGCTCTWGCCACAGTGAGGCATACCAAAGGGAAAAAGGAAAAACCAACCAAAAWCCAACAAAACCACAGAAATCACATTTTGGTACATAAATGTATCTTTCACAGAAAAGTATTTTCAACAATACCTCTATTTATGTATTGAGAATATTCTGTCTTCCAAATTTGAAATTATTTTTTACATCTGATGGAGCATTTTACATCTATTATTTGATCAAATGTGACATGGTTTAGCTACTTTGGAAGTTATCCACATTAATTAAACAACCTAATCTTTTCCCTAAATTCTGAAAATAGTAAAACAAAAAAATAAAAAATTAGGACAACAATGATAGACAATCACCATTCTTCTACTTTACAAAAATTTTAATTTATTCAGAGCTAAAAGCTTTAGTTACTACTACATACAATCCAGCTGTGAATTATCCTCTTTAAAAAAACAAACTAGTTTGTTTGCTACATCCATCAAAGGTATGATTTTCTTTCTAACCAAAATTCAGCTGAGAAATGGATGCTGCAAACAGCCTCAGATATCCAGCTTTCATTAATGTTAATAAAGGAATGACAGCCTTGTGACAATAATTTGGAGGCTTTAAGCCTTTATGAAATATAAT